ATAACTGAATCACATCTTCCAATCAATTTCTGGTGAATTTCTGAGTTACAGAATATAAAATTCAATTTAGTACAAGAACTTAAATCACATTTTGGTAAATCTTAAGTTTTTTAGTGAGATTATTCTGTTTTTACTTAATTCAAATTACGTCTTAAAAGTGAAGAAAAAGAATCACAATTGTCAAGTATTGTTTAGCGAACAACTTTCCCAAGAAATCATTCTTCATGGAAAGTTCTGCTTCCTGGGTATTTTTTATTTTCCAGACCTTTCCATGCAAGGTGTTATTTGATTCTTTCCAATTACTCCCTCTGTCCCAGAAATGGACGAAGGTGTTAGAATGATATAATTTAAACATAAATTTTTATACTAAATAAGAAGACAGCTAAAAGAAATATGCATATGATAGCATAAACCAATTGATTATTGCAGGTGAAAATCCCACCAATGATTTGTTCACATCACAATGTCACACCAAATGTCAAAGATCTTGAGATATCTTATGCCAAAGGACACCTCAGCAATTGATACAAGTAAATAAAACCAGGGGAACAAGGTCCAACTTATTCCTCCTCTTCTGCTTCTTCCAGCCAGTTCACAAAGGGTTCCAGGGCCTTGACAAATGTTTGCCCGTACCAATTTTCAATGCATTAAGATGATCGATACACACAAACAAAATGTTCAAACCAGAAAAAGAATACTACGGTTTATTACTGAGCAACCAAGAAAGTGAAATAAAGTAATTACAAAGAAGCTCAACCACCATCATAATTCTTAATATTGTGATAACAAACATGAATATGAACTTGCTTACCTGCCCTTAGGGTTTGTTCCTTTGCGGAACCAGTGAGGAATGGTGTCTTCTGCAAGCACATCCTGGTCATAGAGAGACCTTATGATCTTGGAGAACAGCTTCATCAGCTTGGCATCACCTCGCGGAAAATCACCGTGGTTAAACATGGCATCAGTCTTATAATGTTCAAAGGAAACCACATCTAATAATTCTAAAACACAGCATGCATCCCAAATGTGTAGCCTTCACAGTTTTAGTCAATTTAAAAACTAGTAAACTCACATGAAATGCTCGGAAAAACCCTCAGCAGATCTCTTTGCAAATGGAAAGAAGTCTGGGAGATTGTCTTCTGTTTTACCTCACTTCAAAATTGCAATTAAATCCGCCAGGCTATTATCCACCAGGTACTCTGTGAAGAAGTCTGTTATGAATGAAAGGACTAGCCCCTTGGCAACAAGATTATCCTTGAGCAAAGGCTGGAACACAGTCTCTGACTCTCTGGCGGCAGCCCTGAAAGTTTCTGGGAGAAAGCAAGAGCTGTGAAAATTGCTAGCTCCTTCCTTTCATTTTCCTCATAAAGATCCAATGACTGCAAGAATCTTTGCGTAACATTTTTGAGGTTCTTTATGAGGAAAGGCCTCTGACGTAAAATTTTCTGTATGTAGATCACAGATGGCAGAATGACTTTGTGCTTAGGCTCACAGCCTATTATAGAGTAAGGGTGGCACTCCCCTTCGTCAGGTTTGGTTGTGCCTGGTTTTGTAAGGCCTCCAGTGAAAACAACCTGTAATTGCAACAACTCAGATTATCCCACTCTGTCGTAAGTCAGTGTTCCCAGAAACAAAGGATGAAAGCAAGCAATTGGAACAACACAATACATAAAACTTCATAAGGTCACCAAACTCCAGCCACACCTTTGCTTTGGCATGATTTTTACTGGATTAATTAACTTCAGGCTTTTTTTGCAAATACTAATGATAGCTGGCTAAAAAAAATTTGGAAGACCAAACAATCTCATTCATGCTTGAGCGAATAGGCAGATTTGAAGCAATGGCATAATAACTAGTCTCTTACAAGTTACAAGAGAAAAAGGAAGAAGTCTCTCATTGTTATTAACTTCTGCTAACCATATTTGTATGCTTCCATATCAAGCTAATTAACTCAAGATCAATCCATTAACCACCAGTGAAGTTCGAAATTATGCCATAGAGGTGGGAAAAAATCCCATATCCTTCTCTCCGTAAATAACGCAAATCATACTCTCTAGATGATCTTAAAGATCCAACAAACTATCAAAAACCAATTACTGAACAACAATCAAAAATCTGTTTTAAAATAGAAGACATCTAAAAGTTAGAGTTCAATCAACAAACTAGAAACTTGCCTCAAAGAAGGTGTCACCATAGCGTGAGAAGTTAAGGCCTGAAGACTCGAGGTTCTTGCAAACAAGTTCCTGCATGAAGAAAATGTTCGGTCAGATGAGCTAGTAAGATAACCACCTAGAGGGATAAAAAAGCTAAAACCTATATGAGATGTCAGATGCACGTTGTAAAGAGTATATTCAGTTGTTACACTTTTGGTTTGGATAAAAATCAAACTCAGACATGAGGTTTGATATTTGACACTTAACCACCTTATGTTTTAACTTGATAGACAAATTCATTGACACTATAATATTTTTTTTCTGTGATGAAACTACCCCCTCATTCCAAATTAATTTAGATTTTCAAAAAGAAGGTCCTTTTACTTTTCTCCTCCTCCCTATCTATTAAAAACTAAGAAGAAATACACAGCTGTAGAGAATGAATGGAGACTGGGACTGGGTGCCACCTGTTGGCTCCAGCAGAAACCTGAATGGGAGTTCCCATTCAAGCAAAGTGAAACAGTAAGAAACATAAAAGTATTAATAACATTAAGGAGGTGGGGGTCAGAGTTTATTTTAACTAAAACCACGAGGGTTGAAATGAAATTTACAATGCAGTAGAAATTTGCCGGATCACCAGCATTATCCAGATAAATCTGGACCACCGGTTGGATCTCAGCGGGCTTCGTGCCCTGGGCGAACAGGTACCCCTCACCGGCGACATCTCCGCTTGTCGTGGCAATTACGAACCGAAGTTCGGATGTGGAGACGTGAAACCCGCAGAATTGTCAGCTATCTCGACGGCGCGTCGGATATAAGCAACGTCGTGGACGTGACGGTAGGAAGCGACGGTGGCTTTGCAAATAAGGGGAAGGGGAGTAAGCTCCCAATGAGCGCGCCATTTTCTTTCCCTCGCAGGTGGCGGGCTTGTCGGGTGGACTTTAGCAGACGACCGTTGGGCTCTGATGGGCTGGCAAAGGGTCCGTCAGATTTGAGAGCCCATTAACTTCGGATGGACTTTATGAGGTTTTTTCAATAATTTTTCAATTAAGCCCCAAGACTATAATTTTTTCAATGAAGACCCTTAACCATTCCCTCAAATACCAAACAAAAAAGATCTAATTATAATATCATATGATATTATAAACGTAAAATCATGATATATTATTATATAATTGACTTTTTTATTTAGAATTTACTTGTGATATTGCATGATTGATTGACTCTACATAGTTGAACCTTTAAAAATTCAATCTTAAGGATTTTATGAATTTGGATTTACCAAAAACAAGTTGTTTGTTATTAATTAATTTTTTAATATGATTCTATGTTAAACTTCAGAAAAAAAAAGGTATTAAGGTATTGAAAGAATTGATTATATTATGGTTGATTAACGCTAGGTAATCAAATAATATATTTTATTTGTGAATTAATAGGATAAATAATATTTAAATATTCAATATAATCAATTTATTTTCTTATATTACCTATCCTAGAGGTTATATAAAGATTGTTACATGTAACTCTATATCTCAGCATAATAATAAAATATCTTTTTCTAGTTATCTCTTCTTGCTTCTTAATTTAAAACTTAATATAAAGTACATTGTTTCTTCTTCTTCTTCTTTTTTT